AGGCCGGCCGTTTCCGGGGGTTTTTACCGCTAGGGGAAGGGAACCATCTGCGCCAGGGCGATAGGCGGGTTCTCAATCTTCTAGGGCAGTGTTTACACGACTGCTCCCGTTCAGGCTTGATTTTCTTATCTCTTATTTATTTTGATTTTGGATTTAATTCATGCTATAATATTAATTATTTGATAAATTCCCAACAATGATAACAGTATAGAATCAACTTCAACTCAAACTAAAGCTAGAGAAAGTGATATCATATATACATCGATCAAGATGATGGAAGAACTGCTACTATCCTATTATACAATATAATCAAGATAACAACAATAAGTGTCACGCCCCTGGCCTACGGGACTGTTGGCGCGTGCAAACCGTGAGATCCGCGAAGAGCAACTCGATGTTAGCTTAAATCCACCGCTAAAATGCTAGCACTAGTTGTTCTTGGGCCTTAGGGCTTTTCTCTATTTAAACCACTAACAATTCTTCACACTAGTCCATGTGGGGCTAAAGTGAGGGTGTCACAATCACCCTACCTTACAAAAACGATGTTCTTGTTATCACGGCATGATAATTAGCACATCCCAGTATCACTTGCCAAGCGATGTGGATTCTAGAGGTGACTCCCACAACATCCACACTTACAGTGCGCGGTGTAGCATTTAGTCCTGTATAGCACTTAATTTTAAACTTTTAGCTGATAATCTTGCTCTAATAACATTTATCACGCCCCGGGCCTACAGAGCCCATTGGCGTGTGCAAGCCGTGTGGCTCACCAAGATCAACTCGATGTTAGCTTTAATTCACCGTCAAAATACTAGTACTAATTGTTATTGGGTCATTAGGCTTTTTTCTATTTAGACTACTAACAATTCTTCACACTAGTCCATGTGTGACTAAAGTGAGAGTGTCACTATAGGATTCACTAGAAAAAAGGTTCAACTAAAAACATAACAATGACTGAGTAGATAAGCCAAGCAGACTATTTATTGATTGAGTAACAAAAATAACTAGAAAACAACAACATGAAATAAAACAAACTGAATCAATTCTCAGAAGTAATACTGACAATAAAATCAATGATATAAATACCTTTGCATTTCCAAAAGCAACCAAGGGAAGTGCACACAGTATGACTAACCTAAAGCTAGAGAAAGTGATATTATACGCCTTCAGTAGCGTTAGTTGACGGCAGCGGTCGGGCAATGGCAATAATGGCGGTGCTTAGGTGACGGCGGTAGTCGAGTGTCTGTCAGCATCGCAGCTAGAGTTGAGGACCTCGACATTGCCAAGGACGGCAGTGGTCGGGTGAAGAAAAAAGTGGACAAGTTAGGGCTCAAAGTAGGGCTCAGATTTTCACCCAAATTGGATTAATAAGGGATCTGATACGGCATCAGGGAAGAATAGAGAATAAAGAGAGAATGAAGGAAGAAGGAGTTCTCTTTGGGGAATTTTGTGGAGAGAGATCTCGGAGAATTGATTTTGCGAGAGAGAAATTGAAAGAGGAGACGACGGAGAGGAGGGTGATGTTTTGTGGATCTATAACTTTAAATTATACTATTTTGGGTTTAGAGATAAACACATAAAGTTAAATAATGGGTTCAATGACGCAAAGGAAAGTTATTGGGTTTATAGATAAATATGGGTAAATAATTGGGCCCAAAAGCAAAAATCCATAAATAATAAGGATTTTTGCTTATATCCTAGAGTTTGACCCAATTTACTTTGAATACCACAAAGTTCCATACATTTTCATACACCCCAAATACAAAGATGATTTACATACAACAAAGTGAATACCTAAGTAGTACAATGTGTATAGCTCCATGCTAGGATGTATAGTTATATATGGTGTATATAGTTACATAATATATGATGTATAGCTAGTTGTTTGTAGCTATATGCGTAAATGGGAGTAGAACTTTGCAAAATTTCCTAAGCAATAAATTAAAGTTTAGATAAAAAAAAAAAGATTTTCAAGCCCCTCCCTATGTCGGGATATTTGCATTTTCATACCTTAAAGTTACATCTATTTTAACTTTACCCCACATTCTTTATTTGGCACACGGACGCTCAAAAGCTTACACTTTTTTTTTACTTTGATACCTTAAGTGTTTTTCCCCAACACTTGATGCCCTAAAGTTTACACAATTTTCTTTGATGCACCAAATTGTATGACACCTTAGAAATTAAGGGACTTATGAGTAATTTTCAAAGATTTGAATGGCTAATGTAGAATGGTTAAATGTTTGAGGGACTAATACAAAATATCTCAAATACTTAGGTGAATATTTGGATTTGTATAGATAAACTATCTACAAATCTTTAGAATTATGTATTGAAGTTTATAAATGGTTTAAATGAACTTTAGCTTGCAGAGTAATATAATTTTTTAATTGGAAGTTTATACCCTTTTATCGATTGATAAATAATGAATATACATATTGTTTTCTTCGAAAGTCGCCTCCATTATCGATTTCATTATAACTTTAATCGTTTACAACAAATTCAAATAACAAAAATAAAAGTTACAATTCTCTTAAAAATAATCACAAAAATCGTTTATCGGCTCTTGCTTGCGTGAGTTCTTCGCCGGTGTCGGGGTTTATCCGTGGACGATCGCGGATCGGATCCGGTTGTCGGAAAACTGACGGAGCTCCTACTTCATAAAGGAAGTATTTGTTTGAAGCTCTGAAATCGATCAAGCAAAATCAGTAGCTCTTCTCGAGATTAAGACCAAACCTAATTTCAAGGAACGGGCGTATGAGGCTTCGGATCCTTCGAAAGACTTCTTCTTTATGCTGAAGTTCGCCGAGATCTCGTTGGCCTTCGCTGAAATTTCGTACTCCTTGACTCCTCAATCCAGCAGCACCTCGTCCTTTTGATAAAATTCCACATCTGTAAAATGGAGGCCTTTGGACTGATATTTATAGGTCCCGGGTGTAGGTATTTGGATGAGAATGAGTGATTTGGCCTTATCTTTGGTTAACAACAGCCTAACCATGTTTGTGGATGATATCAAATTAGTTGGAAACCCCTGGAACAGATAAATCCTGCGAAAACCGCTTTAAAACCTTCGAAAACGCATTCCAGGCTCTGGACTGCGTGAGGGGCTCTGCTGACTCGCGGGGGGCGCGGGTCGGTAAGGTCTGACCCGCGCTGGCGCGGGTCGGCCTGTGCCAGTCGGCAGCGGCTGGCGCGGGTCCGTCGGCCTCCGTCCCGACCTCTTTCTCTTTTGGCGCTCTTCTTTCTAGGACTGTGCTTTTTGACCTGTTCTGCGTAATTTGGTTGGCTCGTCGCTTGCGCCGCTTAGCCGAGGGGGCTGCCTGACAGCGAGCTGATTGACAGCGCGCGTGTTGACCGACACGCGCCTGCGCGTGGGCAGATGGACGCGCGCTGCGGTGTTGACCAACCGTCGAACGCGGGCTAATTGAGCGCGCGTGTGCTGACCGACCGCGCGCTCGTTGCTGACCGATCGCGCGCCAGGCTGACGCGCGCGCGCGCCGCATGGCCCTGACCGAAGCGCGCGGCTGACCGACCGCACGGCTGACGAGCAGCGGGCGCAGGCTGACCGACGCGAGCGGTGGTTGACCTAACGCGCGCTGTGCTGACCGACGCGCGCGTGCTGACCCGACGCAAGCGTGGTGAACCTAACGCGCCGCGGGCTGACCGACGCGCGCGTGCTGACCGACGCGCGCGTGCTGATTGACGCGCGCATGTTGACCGACGCTCGCGGGCTGATTGACGCGCGCGTGTTGACCGACGCGCGCGAGCCGATTGGTTAAACCTTTTTGACTCGTCCACTCTTTGCTTCGAGTTTCGTGCGGGCTCACATAGGCAATTTTAGACGACTACACGTATATCAGAACTCTAAATAAGGTGGCATGTTGGCTATACCTATTAAAGAAGAATTTATCCGGACACTCTAATACAGATTTACTATTAAATTGGTTTCTCATTTTATCCAACAAGATACTATTTCCTGTCAAAAGAAATACTCTAAGATTTCAAAGTGAAAAGGTAGATAGATCGATTGGGTGTACCAAAAATGAAAATAAGTCACTAGATAACCAAAAGAATCTTTTATATTAGTCTCTTAAATCTTTTAAATATTGAAATTAGTCCTTCAAATCATTTAAAGTGCTATTAGGTCCTCCATTTCTTAAGCTACGTCCCTCAAATCAGTGAAATTGCTGCCATGTCCTTCTTTACTCAAGTAGTTATTCTGAAATTAGTTCTTTAAATTATTGAAGAGTAAAATTAGTTATCAGAGTGATCTATTCAAACAACATACATAGAGTTGAGCTATCTAATAATAGGAATTTAGACGTACAAACAACTCCATGGAGCGGTCACGTGTACGTGTTACTCCTCACCAGGAATTTAATTAAAAATGGCAAAACCGAAGACAAGAGCACGAGTGAAACAGTTGATCGAGGAGAGGGGAAAAAAAAAGGAGGTACAATGTCATAAATGCGCAACTAAAAAGAGGAGTATAATAACTGACGTAACAGCTAGCAAGTGAAGAGCGTGAAATTAAGCATGATAATGACTTGTATTTTTGGATTTGTAGGTGGTAAAAGCGAAGCAAATTAAGGAAAAAAGAAGAAAGGGGGAAGCGTCAATTAAAGTGTCGAGGGAAAAGGCCGGGGATCGAGGAAATCTCACGAGAAAGCAAGAAGGGGGAGCAGGGGCCAGAGACAGGGCTAAGCTGGCTAATAGCGGTAAGAATCGAATCTATAAGTTATTTATTTGGGACCATTGACATCCAGACGCATGCAGTACATGGTCACATACATGCATACCTCACGATCATCTAACACTGTGTTGGGCCAGGCCCCCCGACCCATACGAACAATAATGGCAGCGTCGGCATCTTTCGGCTCCTGCGTAGCGTATGTATATATGTAGGTATTATTTATTAGGAGGAGGGGTTGGGGGCAGCGGGGCTAGTGCAGGGTGGACGGTGTCGGTGGTGCGCGGCCGACTCGTAAATATGACGAACAAGGAGGGGGTGGGGACGGACGTTAAAATGAGTGGAGCACGTCGTTTTAATCCTCTCTATCAAAGATCATAACACCACACAGCTTCCCCCAGCTAACAGCGATGCGACACGGACGCCATCTGTGAGCACGAGATACCAGACAGAGCGGGGGGGCGTTAATTGTGTGTGTGTGTGTGTGTCCGTATAGAAAGAAGAGCACCAGTCTTTTCTTCCTTCCTTCCTTCCTCCTTTTTCTCCATAGACAGATTAGAGAGACTGAGGTTGGGATTGAGCCGTTGAGATTGGATTCCTCCTACTACTAATCTAGGGTTTTCAATTTGGGGGTGGAGAATAACGAAGAAGGGCTGAGAGAGAGAGAGATGCTCAAGTATTGGAATCAGCATCACTCTCAAAGAGGAGGAGGAGGAGCATTGGCTGCTCTGGTGGTGCTTCTTCTTCCTGCGCTATGGCCTTCTCTCTTCACTCCTCTCGGTCACGCCTCCCCTTCCATCTTCTCGGTGAGCTCCTCCTTCCGGCGATCTCAACATCATTTGAGGCTGCCTTTATTATTATTATTATTATTATTATTATAAAATTTTACGTGTTGATTTTGTGGATGGGGTAATTGGGATTAGGTTTACGTAACCGCTACTCCCCCTCCGATCTCAATATTAGATGTTTACCACCTGCTCCGGCTTATGCGTGAGCGAAGGAAGGAGCTTGTAGATTGCA